CGCAGGCTTTGCGATTAGGAAATCGCAACGTCTCAAATCGCGATTACGATTCGATTTCGATTAATCGCACAGCCCTAGCACACACCCTCATTCTCATTTACGAATATAAACAGAAAACAGAGTAATTGTACAGCATTTTCTTCTTTTTCAGGTTGCATTAACACCTGTTTAATAAAACCAAAGGAATGTTAGATCATTTTAAGAAATGATTTAAATAATAACATTTTATGCCTTGAATAAAAATGTCTGCTAAAAATAGATGAAAATATAAAACATGATACACTATCATTCAAAAGTTTGGAGTCAGTAAACATGATGGTAAAGACATTTATAATGTAACAATTTTAAATAAATGCTGTTCTGTTCTTTTGAACTTTCTATTCACCAAAGAATTCTGAAAAAGATATATATATATATATATAGTAAGCAGCAAAACTGTTTTCAACATAGCAAATAGTTAAATATTTTTGAACACCAAATTAGCATTACAGGAATAAATTAAATTAAAAAAATATATTCAAATAGAAAATAGTTAGTTACTTTAAATTGTAATAATATTTCACAATATTACTCTTTTTACTTTTTACTGTATTTTTGATTAAATAAATGCAAGCTTGATAAGCATAAGAGACTTCTACAAAAATGCTACCGACCCAAAATTTTTTAGCAGTGACTGAAAATTAAAAATCAAGACCCTCTATTATCTTTCATTAAAATTCAATGGAATCATTGTGATTTCTATAATATTAACCCATATATCATATAACATACACTTTTCAGTTAAAAAAAATCTAATCTAATGTACTGCAGATGAACTAGGATAGCTAAAGCAGTTATAGAAAAAAGCAGTTATTTCCAAATCTCTTTAAAAATGATGCTGACATGCACATACACACACACTGACATTTTATGCTTGGTTTGGAGCACAGGCGCTTTATGTGTGCGTAGGTGACACTCACTCTTTCATGTCTTTTGAAGGAGAGGAGTTGCTGGGGTGTGTGGCTGTGGCAAGGAGTGTGCTGCTGATTTTCTCAAGTGTGCAGGCTGTCCCGATGGCACGAACCACAAGGCCTGATTCTCCTTCCAGATCAAAACACTGTAGGTACCCCACCACTGCATTCCCTCCCATCTCCAGCACCTTCAGACCAATCTTCCTCTGCAATTCACCTACAACAGAAACACAAATGCATTTAGACAAACACCACATGAGCCAAGAAAATATTCACGGGAGTGTCTCAGATTGCACATGCAGATGTCTCCAGAGACACAGAAAGCAGTCTTCTAGTAAGTCCTCTGTTAGCAGATGATCTTATCCAAAGCTACTTAAAGTACACTTAGTCAGAGTAGATCAATTGTGCTATCCAAAAGTCCTAAATCTAGGTTGGTAAAAGAACAGCATTTATTTGAAATAGATTTTTTTTTTAACACTGTGGAAGTCTTTACTTTCACTTCTGTTCAATTTAATGGATCCTTGCTGAATAAAAGTATTATTTATATGTGCCGATTAGTCAGTATAAATTGGTAACCAACCACTGAACTAGCAGCCCTGCAGTTATCATGTGATCAATTCCATAAAAAAACACTAGCACCTCTAGCAACATATCCAAACATTTGAAAATATGCTTCCACATAAACTTTCAGTCGTTCATTCACACTTTTTGTGTATTAGTACCTGACATGAGAAAGATGAGTCTCTGTCTGGCCTCATTTGAAGCTCGAGGGGTTCTGATACGGTCGATCCACTGGTACTCTGGATCCTCGTTTACCACAAGCTCTTCCACAAAGCCATGTACCATAATGGCCCGGTAACATCGGGGAATGGAGGTTGCTGAAGAAAAAGAGAGACAGAACCAGAATGTGAGTGTAAATTCACTGAGAATGACAAAATAAAGACAGGAAAGAGAACAGAGCAGGGCTGAAAGTGGAGGAAACAGATCGTCAGGGGATAAAGAAAAGAAGTACAGGAAGAAATGGAAGCAGATGATCTAGATACTTACTACAGAAGAATTTAACCCCACATGAAGACTGTCTAAAGCGGTTCAGGTCGTTGAAGAGATCCACCTTCACCAGCACATTGATTTCTCCTCTTATACCTGAACACAAGCATGTCATCAGAACAAAACAAGTCAGAACTCCTTAATATTATAGGCTAAATTTGCTTGCGAATACCCACCGTGTATAGTGTCATAGATGGGGAGCCAGCCAGAGATGACAGTAGCAGCTTCACTGCAGAGCAGTGGATCAATGTCGATGTACACCTTTCCTATGGCATCATTAGCGCTGTATGTGTCATGGTCAAGAACAGTTATCTGCAACGGCTCATCCTGCAAATCCTCATCATCCACCTAAGGGGTAAAGGAAAGATAAACATAGGGAATAGACTCTACAAAAATCCAACCTAAAGCAGGACAATTAGAAAGACCTTACCTCGAATTTGAACCACTCTGAATTCCACTGCGGATTCAGGGATTTGGGGTACACATCCGTTTTAAATGTTGTGTTTCCAAACTTTACCTGTGGAACAAGTGCAGCTCTATGATAAAACAAGCGATATCCAACTGCATTTTAGGCAGCATTTTAATCTAATGACTTCATTAACAGACTGATGCTTGACTTACCTCCACAAAGGCGTCTGTGAGATCGCTGGCACGGTCCATGACGGGCAGGTGCCGCCCCGCAACAATCTTCGCCTTTAACTTCCCAGGCATTATTCATCTATTCAAACATACATGAACACAAACAAACAGTTTGCACACTGGACAGAGGCAGAAAAAACCTGACCCATATCCATACACTGACATGGATGTTTGAAACAGGTGATCACAACAGGTGCCTTTGACAGATTGGAGGGTGGACAGAAGAGCCAGAGACTACAGATGCAGACAGAAAGCCTTATATCAAATAAACACACACTCAAATAAATAATTAGCTCTATATAATTAGTATATATTAACATAAAATGTTCAATAGAAATAAATATCAATAATTTACATTTTTAGATTAGATTTTAAAATATTTAGTCAAACCTTTCTAATTATAAAATACAGGTAACGTAACATAACAAGATTAGTCAAAAAATAAACCAATTTTTGATTCATTTCCCACACATTCGCCAAAATAATCAATTACATTACTTATAATAAATGCATATATCTGCATTATTGCAATCATCTTGTTTACTTAAAACCACAGCACTATTAGACATGAAAACATGATCTTTGCATAATATTGATACAATAATTAATATAACGTTACACGTAATTTAATTAACTTGTTATGTATAATATCTCTGGGTTCACCTTGTGGTTAGCATTAGCAGATTTTTTTTTTTTTTTTATAAAATCACCGAAGAATTATATTACACTAGAACACCAAAACCATTCATCAAAGAAAAAATTCGACAATAATTCTTATATGTTGAATATAACGTTACATGCATATCTCTGTATGGATCAGGCAGTAAGCAGTTCAGCTGCATTCACATTGTTTACACATCACAGCAGTATTATATTAGACACAAAGGCTTATTCATTGAATGATTTGGTTATAAACTGTTCAGCTAAATTAGATTATTTTAGTGTTTTTGATCCTGTCAGCTCACCAGAGTTTCGCCTTTGCGGTTCAATCTGACATTAAAGTCTCTCCATCGATCCTTGCGCCGATTAAAACTCTTCTTCTGTCATAATTAGATCTCAGGAAGGCGCATCGTCGATTCTGTGAGCCATTCTGATCGCGATCATATCAAAATTTTGATGTTTATGCGGCTAATTTTAAAAACAAATTCGGCCGTCAGATGAAGCGACTCGCGCAGGATCAGGCGCATCGCTCGCGCAGGTGGGAGGGGCGAGAACGGAACGTCAGAGCACATCCGGGTCACGGACATTCACACCACTCACACGTGTGTTTTTGGGCCAGATGATTGCTTAATTTTGTATATTATATTTTTCACTTTCATCCAAAGTTTTGGCCATTATATAATATCCATCTTAAATCTTAATGAAATAGCTGCACTCATCAGCACTGAACCTTTCCCAAGTGTCCAGGATTAAAAATCAGTGTCTTAAAGACTAATCCCATTGCATTCAGAGCCAAATAAGCCAGTGGATGGTGCAGCCAGGCCTGTAATTAATCTACTATTATTACACACTGCTACCCCACTGAGTGATCCACTGCTATCCTGTGTAGCATGTGTAAACACATATTTTGTTAAGCATAAGCACTTAGGCATACTTGCACTTAATAAGTGGGTCATTCAAATATGTGTAGCTCATATACATATTATGTTGTGATATTTTGGGAAAAGTATAAAAAAATAATTATATATATATATATATATATTATAAATATATATGTATATGCCATGTGTATATATATCTATATATATATATATATATTATAAATTATTATTATTATTATTAATTGGACCATAGGCTAAATTAAATAAACAGCTGTTAGCAACAGATTTGATTAATCTGCCAATGTTTTGTAATATTAGTTGGTTTGTCTCACAATTTAAAACATAACATCTTGGATGATACATTACAAAAACTGGTATAATAATATAGCCTGCAAAAAAAAAACATACATAGATAGATATATACATATGTATCTGTCTATCCAAAATCACCTTGTTCATGTAAAAACACAGCTGTATTAGACATGAAAACATGACCTTTGCATAATTTTAAGACATTAAATAAAAGTATACAAGTAATTAATATATGTCAAATATCTCTGGGTTCACCTCATTTTTCGCAGATTGGCCCATGCAGCTTATTTTTTATAAAATCGCCAAAGAATTCACATTCAGAATGATTTCTTTTCCATCTGATGAATGATACAACATTGACAGCCAATCAGAATCCGTCCTGTTTTAAAGAGCTCGACCATTTAAAGCGGCAAGTGACAAAACGGCGGTACACGCTTATAATAAACAGGACATTATCATCTGTTGGCAGGGAAGCTAATATAGTTATCATTATGGTTATCTTTACAGTTGTCATTCTTGGTGTGAACGGGCCTTTAGGCCTACTGCATTACAGAAATGACCTAGTTTCTAACATTAACCCTTACATAAGCAGGCATCACGTTACATAAAGTCCTCACCTGACTTATTGTCATCAAAGACTATTTTTGTGTGGATATGTATGAGTGGCATCATTTGTGTGTACGCAGTTTGTATGTGTGTGTTAACGGGACAAGTAGCATGTGTATGTGCTTCTGTTCTAAGGATCAATTTGGTATCTCGTAAATATCGGCTTAGTTTTAAATGAACCCTCGGGTCAGAGGGGTTTTCACCTCATTGAGCTGCCTTAGGTGGAAATGCGCTAATATTGGATCACAAATGCAAAGGGGATGCATGAGAGATATTCCTGACACCCCAAGCTGCCGAAACCATTCGCCCGTAGAGTCTGTCAGTCAGTGCCAGACAGGCGAAGCGGCAGAGAAATACATGGCCTGGGAAGCAGACATGGCTCAGCTCTCCGTATGGAAAGGTTCCTGAATAAATAGATCATAAACCTTCAACACAAATTTCTTCCTCACTGAATCCTAAAGGACTTTTTGGTAAACAAATAACCTGCATGTAAAAGTTTTGCGAGATCTCATGAACTGATTATAGATTAAAATGTATAACAGTCCAAATGGTCCTTACAGCAGCTTTTGTATTAAAAACAATCAAGAGTCAAGGATTTAGCTAAGTCGAGCACATTAGCACTTTATACAATACAGATATTGTTTCAAAGAAGCTTCACGGTAATAAACAAGAAAATAACAGTATTGGTGTTATTTCAAAGTTCTTCAATTATGAAACAAATACAATTTCAGCTATAAAGCAGCTCTCAAAGACAATAGGATTTTGATGTGAGAGGACAACAGGGGATGTTTTTTTTTACTGAAAGGATTATGAACTCGTATTTTGGCCACAAGCAATGGTTTAAAGTAAAAATGCCCGTGACGTGTTTCTTACAAACAAGCAGATTTTCGCTTCACGTGATGGTAACTGATGTACTGGAGTGGTGTGGATTATTATGATGTTTTTATCAACTGTTTGGACTCTCATTCTGACGGCACCCATTCACTGCAGAGGATCCATTGGTGAGCAAGTGATGTAATGCTCCATTTCTCCAAATCTGTTCTGATGAAGAAACAAACTCATCTACATCTTAGATGACCTGAGATTAAAGTTTCAGTATATTTTCATTTTTGGGTAAGCCATTCCTTTAAAGTACAATATGCATTTAAAACACTGGGATAATATTTTAGGTCCTGGGTTGGTGGGCAAATGGTGTTTAAAATGGAGTATTTATGGAAGTGAGGTTTGCTTATGAACATGTGAGGGTGAGCAGGTGCCGATTGTTCTGACCTATGACTAATGGATGGAAACGTTTCCTTTATGCATTGTCTTGTTATTTGACTGTAATATATTTGCTTTAAAGAGGTGAAGACTTAACGACCCGGTGTGTCCTGTAATTTACAGATGTGTATGGCTGTCATTTTTAGATGATGGAGTTTTCGTTATACTAACCTGTTTGATTTCACAATTTCCCATTATAGGATGTGCCTCGTCTGCTATATTGCATTTGAGATGCACATAAAAATGTATTTTGAGGCATTTACTGTATTAGGCTTTGAATTGCTTTGTCCTTGTGGCGTAGGACACACACACACACCACCCAGTCCCTGATATGTTGAGGACAGCTGCCCATTCATTCTCATTCCTGTCTCTGTGAGCTAAAATTACAAAGCTGCTGCCTGTCACACATAAAAACAATTGTCTCTGTCCTTTGTGCTTTCAGAAGCTGTCTTGACCCACGGGCAACACCTCAGGTAACACACGTCTCTGTGTCAGCTACATCTCTCAATGCAGGTCAAGGGATTTATTTAGTTTAGTATTGTGATTGCAACTATTCATAATTGTTTCTTTTTATTTTTGTTTATACCTATTTGATTTGACAGGTTTCACAATGGCGGACGAGTAAGTGTTTTATGCATTATGTTTTGTGAACATTGCCTGAACAAACATCTTTGTATATTTCTTTATCTGATAATATTTTCTTCTCTTTCCTCTTTGCAACCACCAATAAACATAAAATCTGCAGCAATGTAAGTAAATAGTCTACAGTATATGCAACTTTTAAGACTGAAATTAGAGCAATAATTAGTTAAAGGGATAAAAGCTTTAATAACATTATACAATAATTTTCTGATAAGGATAATGTGATTTATAGTGTGTATTTGTATTCAAATTTTCACTTTAATTTTTGTATATCATCAATAGCCTCCTACTCCATTGCCCCCTCGAGTGCAAGCCAAGGTATTCAACAGCATATTGTGATTACGATATTGTGAAATGCACATTTATCTCTACATTGTTAAATGACAGAATATAATGCATAAAAATTAGGATTAAACTTGTTTACATTTTTTTTTTTAAGCCGAAGTCTAAGATTTCTGCGTCTCGAAAACTCTCGCTGAAGGTATGATAGTGGTGTGTGTGTGTGTTTTCAATACTTTGAGAACTCAGTAAATGTGCATGTGAACTGATTGCCAGTATGTTTTTTTGTTGCTGTTTAAACCTACAGAATGCCTATTTACAGTACATTCTGTTTTCTCAGATCCTTTTGCTCCAAAGAGCCATGGAGGAGTTGGAACAGGAGACGGTCAGTCGAGATGAGGACAAGGTGAAATATCTGAGCGAGAAACTTCCGCCTCTTCAGATAACTGGCCTCTCAATGGATGAGTTGCAGGTTAGTGAAAGACAACTTCATTAACATATACAGACACTGACCAACTAGTAAAAAGCAAGTGAGTTTTTCTTTCTATATTTTTTAGGAAATTTTAATAATTATAATGTTTATCATATATTTACTTCAAATAATATTTATAATACTGTTTTAACACACTTGACTGAATTTATGTTTCTCATGAAGCTGGAATCTAGTCAAAGGTCAACTACACTCTAAAAAATGCTGGGTTAAAAAGGGACAAACCCAGCTATTGGGTT